ATTGATTAAAAAATGTCTTGACAAATGTTGACCTAATCCACAAAAGACTCTTGAGTGAACCCTGGACTCCTGACAGTTCTGCTGTCTTGGCTAGCAAGGTGTGCTAGTCCCAAGGCAGATGTACTTGGCAGATATCCTCCAAGATTTGAAGTAAGGGTCTTTTCATCCCTCGGCTGCTCATGAAATTAGCAATCCTGCCAGCTTTGAAGCCAAACCAAATAGAAAGTATTCAGAAAACTAGAAATCCTTCTTTTTTTAGCCAACTTGTCTGCAGGTATTTGTCTTTTAAACTAGAACTCCACAGAACACCTCTGACTTTAATTTTCCTGGCCACATGCTGGCCTGTCATTTTCTTCACTGACTTCTCTTAGAGAAAGGGACAGCAAATTCTATTTCAGCCTGGCCCCTCATAGGGCAGGCCATGTCTCCCAGGCAGACATATGAAAAGTTGGGCATTTGTTGCAGATCTGGTCCTCAATCCTCTGGACAGCCAAGCCATGTGTTTCACATGGCTGTTCAGCCCTTCTGAGATGCCCCAGGAATTCTGCTTGGCTGCTGCAGCAGGGATCAGATACAGGTCCTGTGTTAATGCTGCCAGACCTTACTGGCTGTCTTGGATACCCTCACACATCTCAAAAGGCCTCAAATTGTATAATTGAGGAGCTGGATCCCACCCAGCAGGCTGATGTGATTTTGTGCAGGCAGATACTCACCTCATCCACACACTAAAATAACTGGACATGATCTAGGCTAATCCAAAAGCCACATCATCATACTAGCTCAATACTGAGTTTAAAGTTATCAACCCAGACTCACAAATCACATCTTTGCAAAAGACCATGTAAATGTAACTTCTCTCAGAGAAGAGATCCAACAAAGTCCTTGAAATTCTGGTTTCCAGACACAAAAATCACTTCATCATTCCTCTCCCCAATTGCTGGCTCCACTCAGGCAAATATGCTTTATTTTACTAGCCCAAAGCATTCCTAGAGCTGGTCACCAGTGAAGGCATCCTTCATAACATCAGTCCTGGGGACAATGTTTTTATTTGCTTTTCCTGGCCCTTAAATTCCCTAAGAAGGACTACAGCTCTGGCAGCAGAAAGAATGGCAGCTTGGTCCCAGCATGGGGTCTGATCATTCTGATGACTCCTTGCCATAGAAGGCAAGCTCCAGTGAGAGGCAAGTGCAGGGCAGTTTCTTTGCCCTGACTCATTTGAGAGAGATCAGGATTCATGACCCAGTAGCTGTTCCCTAGATTGCCAAGGACCACTCCCTTGAAAGACCACAGGCTGTTTCAAGAATCAGGGAAGGGGAGAAGCAGGGGGAATGTGTTGCCACAGTCAGTTCTTGTCCTACAGACATTGTACCCAAGCTTCTCACTGTCCTTCATCAGTGTCCAGAACACCACTGCTCTGTTGGACTCGCCTGCTGTAGTTCACACAAGATGCACAGGTGGAACAATTATTTTCTTACAAGACCTTCAAATGTGTAAAACTACCCCCAACATCTTACCAAGCAACTCTCAGCTTCCTGCACCACTCTCCTCTTTGTACACCAGTTGCACAATCTTCCCAGTGTGAACTATCATCAGCTTTAGAGTTTCACAGAAGCTGAAAGACACAGGGTGGGAAAGCAGAGTTTTTAGGGAGCTGTAGGGAGGAGGGAGAATGACAACAGGAATATCCATCCACCTGAGACATACACACAAATCTGTGAAACATCTGTGTATTGCATGCCACAGGTTACATCACTTTAAAATGTTTTTTCTTTTTAAATGTTCGTTTCAAGCGCTTCCACAAAAGAAATCAATTACTAATGACATACAGCCCTACTTTTCTTCCTGAACCCATAATTGCTTCCAATTTTAAGCTAAAATTAGTCATTCATGCTATCCAAATGAGCATAGTTTAGTGCTGATGTACGTAAGCGATGCTTTAGATTGTTGAACGTAGCTGATCTTTGACAGCTTCTTCTTATAAATAACAGTTTCCTCTTTACACTGAGAACTTTTCAGAGGCGACAGATGTTTGAAAGATGGGACTGAATTAGCTGAATAGCCTGTAAAACCCACCAACCTGAGATTTGCAAATATGAAAGCTCAGAATTCTTACAAAGACAGCTTGCAGAAAGCATAAATCACATCTGCATAAATGCCTCTCCTTCAGCCTACATCCTTTGCACGTCACATTGTCAGCATTTAACACCTAATAAATAATAAACAACTTAATAGTTAACAGTGCTGACACAGACAGGCTGCATTGCAGAGAGGAGGACACTGAGAATCCATTAAATGAAGTGAAAAGCAATGGTAATGGCAATGGTACTGGTGAGGGTAATATAACAAAACCTTTTGTTTGTTCAACAAGATAGAAAACACTGCAGGAAAGCAGAGCTCTGTCAGACACAGACCTGTCCTCCCTCAGTAGTTCATGGGCATGTGCTGAACAAAGGATGCTGGGGAGGCAAGGTTTTTTGATTATTTCCTAACTTTAAAAAAGTTAAAAGTTGTGACTGTGGCAAAGCATGAAGCTGACACTTCATTCTAAGTTTAACATCTTTTGTACCTTGCTCCTTTTTGAAGGAAAATGAGCATGTTCCAGCAGCACTTCAAATGACAGGACTTGTACTTGTCATGCAGATAAACTGTTCTCTCAGCAGGCACAGCAGAGACTCTCCCAGTGATAAGCAATTTGGTTTTATTTACATATAAACATATGCAAGTACACGTGCATGCATGAGGAGGCAAAACCAAAGAAACATGTTTGACACTTGGGGAGGGAAAGATGAGTTTCACAGTGGTGCCTTTGTTTTGTTGGGAAGGAGAGGGATTCAAACCACAACTTCATATCAGCACCCACATCTTCTCTGTTCCCTCCTCCTGGGACCACAATTTTCTTCGTCTAATGGGCCCTACAATTGTGTTTCACCTGTTAAACCCCTTCAGAGTCCTTATAATACCTGGTATACAAGTTATACTTCGGAAGTGTGGAAGCAGAATTTCACACACAGACAATTAGCTTCTCAAAAATCCCATTTGCAACATTACTTCTATCAGTAAATAAATCAGACAGTTCCAATCACATTATTATTCCATAAACATCACTCTTTGATTAGCTCTTCTATTTGGAAAATTCATACACCAGTCCCAAACTAAATGTACTCTGTCTGTTCAAGTGACATTCTGCATTTTGTTCTTCTTAAAGAAAATGGCTTCAGATTAGTAAAAATTGCAATGACTGTTTTCTTATGCACTCAGTCAACAGCCCAGCAAACATTTTACAAGAAATAAGATAAATAGCACCACCCCACTGCTTCCTTAGGTAGAAGGCAGAAACAAATTACCCAGCTAACACACAAAGTATACAGAATATATTACGAAGAAAAATATGCATTATTAGAGCTAAATTTATATACCAATTAAGTTGTCCATCTCTTTGAAATCAGACATATTACCTTACTACTTTCAGGCTTGTGAATAGCATTAGTGAGCATTGAAAGGCATGGGTACCAGGAAAGTTTTCATTTTTCACACTGTCATTACAAGAACAAGGTTCCAAAGGCAGAAACAATCCAAGAGCTTCACATGACTCGTGCAAGTCCAGTCACACACCTGCATCAATCACCACCTCTGCAAGCATTCATCTTCTCCCTCTTCATGGTCCCTCAAAGCAAACAAAGCAAAGTACTGCAGGACTGCCCTGCATAGGTGACTGGAGAGAAGGAGCTGTAACCAATCCCATGGAGAAGCCTTACAAACCCCCCTAATTCACTCCATCCCCCTGTGTGATCCCAGCTGTGAGCCTGCACCTATTCCATGCTGAAACATGCTTAAAAATGCTTTCTTGTTCTGATGATCTCTATGAATTTTGTTGATTTGGGCAGAAAAACCCTTCTATTTTCTCCTTTTTTCCTGCTTCACCTACAATCTATGTGTTTATTCACGATGGATCTGGCCCTTCTACAACTGTGATGCACAAAACACTTCTGAGAACTTGGCACTGAGAAATCATAATTCAATGCAAATAAGGCAAAAGCAGCAATCACAGAAAGTGTCTGATGCCTCTCTTGACCAACTCCCTCTGTATTATTACAATGTGATTACAGCAATGAAGGAGCTGTAGAAGCAGGAGAGCAGCCTTTCAGATCCAGCAGGCTGAGCTGAGTATGGAAAATAAAATATACAAGTGTCCACTCAGAAAAATAAGTCAATAGACATTAAAAAAAATATATGGAAAAAGTCCTCCCATGTAGCCCAGGACTCATCACATTCCAGAAGATTTTGCTGGCAATATTGAGTAGGTCAGAGAATGACATGTTTGCGATTCCTGGTACAGTAAAGACTAAAGGCAGATTTCAAGGACACATAAAAGGAATTAAAAGGTAGCCTATTACTTAGCTTGGAGGTGCCCCAGTACCCTACCCTGTATGAGAGCATTCATTTCACAAAATGGAAATAATCACAGTCATCTTTTTCAGGTCACTCTATAATTTGTTCTCTTTCAGAGATTTTATAGTTGTTAATCTACCTAGAGACTCAGGTGGAAAGGCAGTACATAATAGCGTGATTAAAGATCATGTCAGCATGCAGATGCCCCGAAGTCAAAGTCTGATCTCCTTCTGTCACTGAACATGCAAGTTTTAATATGATTTCTAGAGTTTCACCTCCTGATAGACTGAAGACACCACCAAATCCTTGGGACAGAATGCTAGAATTCAAGTCCAAAGGAACAGATCCCATATAATCAATTAACAACCATATCTGTCAAGCTCTCACTACATCTGCAACCAGCAGCTGGGCATCAATTTGCAGGACCTGGATTTGCTTGTAGAACAAGATGTGTCAGAAAACAAAGCAGAAACACAAATCAGAACATTCATCATAGAACCATTGAA